AGACGACATAGTAGAGGCCAATCAACAAGCTAGATTAGACTGCCTCAAAAGCGTCCCCAGGTGTGTCACAGAAGACCAAGGAAGGAAACTCACACAGTGCCCCACGCTACAAGAGGTATATGACGCCGTCAAGGGTCTCCCCACCGGAAAAGCCCCCGGAATCGACGGAGTCCCTATCGAATTCTTTAAAACTTTCATAGAAGAACTAGGGCGAGATCTCCTCGGACTAATCAAGGAAATATTCGAAACCAAAAAGTTATGCCGCACGTTAAATACAAGTAAGATCAGCTTGCTCCCAAAGGGAGGTGAGTTGGTATTTCTGAATAATTTCCGACCCATCTCCATACTTGGTGCAGTGTATAAAATAGTGGCCAAGCTGATAGCTAATAGAATGATTCCCTATCTCCCTACCTGGATACGAAGCTCTCAGACTGCATTTGTACCGGGACGCTGCATCTTCGACAACATCTTTATGGCCCAATCCTCAATAGACTGGGCTTTAGAAAGCAACCAAGATCTCATCCTCCTGCTCCTAGACTTTGAAAAAGCCTATGATAGGATAAGCTGGAATTTCTTGAGAGAAACCATGTTACACATGGGATTTCCCACTGATTGGGTCGAACTAGTTATGACATTATACTCTGAGGCCTCCGCTAGAACTATGCTAAACGGGGTACCTGGGGAGCAGTTTTCTCTACAACGTTCTGTGAGACAAGGGTGCCCGTTGGCACCCTATCTATACCTTCTTGTCGGAGATGTGTTAGGGCACATGCTCTCGGATCCTGATCGATCCTTGGTAGGATTCACTCTACCAGATGGTAAAACAACAACAAATCAAATGTATGCTGATGACTTGGCACTATACATCCACGGAACAGAGCATAATATAGATACTGCCATGGGTATACTGAATATCTACTGCAAGGGGAGTGGCGCTAAAATAAACTGGAATAAATCATATGGTATCTGGTCATCAAGACAACCCCGCTTGTGGCAGTGGCTACTAGATCCGGGTCTTAACTGGCTACCACCTGGCTCTACCACCAAATACCTTGGATTTCCAATTGGGGCCCTAGCACCGACAGAAGTCATCGCTAATAAAGTGATCCAAAGGTTGACTGCAGGCCTATCCGTCTGGGAATCGAAAAACCTATCCCTGGCCGGAAGGTTCATGATTGCAAACCAGTCAATATTAGCCATAATCTGGTTTCTGTGCTCATGTTCAGCAACCTCAAATACTACCTTCAAAACGATTAGAGCTCTCACGCGGAACTTCATCTGGGGGGCCAAGCTGGGTAAGAAAACGAGGGCAAAGCTAAGCTGGACACTCTTGATTCAAACAATAGCCTCGAGAGGGGTTAAAATACTAGATCCGAAACTTCAAACCCAAGCGCTAATGACAAAATTAGTAGTTCGAAGTCTTCAACCAGGATACGAACCGTGGAAAGTCTTTGCGAGACACAATCTAGGACGTACAAAACCCACAGGGGCGGGAAGATGGCCCAGACACATACATTGGATCAACGCAAGCCGAACAGCACCTGTAAGATCCACCCCGCTATGGCGAGCAACGTTTCAATCTTGGAATTCAACTAAATCCGGCCTGCAACAGATTGCCCCAATCCATCCAACGGAGGTCCTTAGACAGCCGCTATTTGGAAATACATTGATTAGACAAGCTTCTGGCACCCTCTTTGGCATTGAAGCAAATTCTAGATTTTATACATGGGCGAAGAGAGGTGTTTTTCAGATTAAAGACGTGGTATTTCAGCCAACCGGACGATGGCACACGGAAAACTTCATCAAGTCAGCTACAGGCTCACGCACAACAGCAACACAATGGGCAGCACTTAAACGGGCTATTCCTTGGGACCCTCCTTCTCAGATTCCTCTAAAAACAGGCGAGTGGATAACACTCACAACCTCGAGTATACATACCATATACCATACACAAAAAACAGACGGAAGAGAGTGGCTATGTAAAGTCTATATTGTCCTACCTTCAGAGGAAATCAAACCCATTGACAATCAACTACAACTACTACCACGAGGTAACCACCAGCATGTCAGAATCATTCGAACAATGGGAGCTAAATGTGGTGTGTTATCATATAATCCAGAAACTGTGACTGAAGATGAAAGATTATGGCTCTTCGGTACAGTTCCTATTAGTCAACTAGGGTGGGACCCTAGGGACTGGCAATGGGCCAGATTGGGATGCCTCGAACCTTGCAATTTCTTTCAATATACAACCAAGCGGGGATATCGAGAGGCTCTTAGGAAAACAAGCAAATAAATGCGTGGTCTCAAAGAATTGGAGGCACAGGGTTACTCATCTAAACAGCAACGACAACTCACACAACGGATATGGCACCCATGGATACCTCGCAAGATAGCGGCCATGCAATGGCTGCACCTTGCGGGAGGCTTACCAATAGGAGAATGGAGAGCTAAAGCTTCATCAGCAAATACATGTAGACAATGTCACTCCGACGAAACAGAAACAAGTGAACACACATTATTCAAGTGCCCAAGGGTTGCACCTACATGGCAGTACCTCAAAACACTTAGATCCCAAAGCCACCTCCCAGATGACTACTCACAATGGAATAACATCCGATTTGGTTTACTAAATCTACCTAGTAACACAGACATTGCTCAGACATCTGCATGGGATGCAGGAGCTAAGATACAAGTTAACGATAATACACCATGGGATATACTACGAGCTAGTCTTAACTGGAATATTTGGGTTCAAAAGTGTGAAGAAGAACTGAACGGCCATCCGTTTTCGCTCGGCAAAGTTTTGTTCTACTCGTGGAAAACAGTAATCCATGTTGGTGCAGAGGTATGGCGTAGCATTTTCAGACATAAACGTAGCCAAGACAAGATCACCGAGCTAACAACCCTTTTCAACACGGTCTGGACTCAGCAAGGAGTTTTTGCCACAGCTGGTAATCCACCGAACTGGAAATGGCTTCCACCATCCGCCTTTCTTCCACATGACCTAGCACAAGCTGTCCTTCAAATGCCATTAAGGCCAAGGCAACCGATCTCATCTGATGAGACAGCAAGCTCGAACTCTAGCAGAGGGTTATCCTTGGCTATAGATGATCTTTTTGATGAGGTCGACAGAGGCATATACGAACAACAACCCAGCTACACTACTCCGACACAAACATCCCCCTCCTCCCGAATCGAAGACACCATCGAACAAGCAGAGGTCATTGAAGCAATTCCGATGGAGATGGCCAGTAGTCTACAGTCAACACAATTGACAATAAACGATAACCTACACCAGACCCAATTTAACGAAGAAGAAATGGAAAGAGAGGTCGAAGAGATACTAACAAATATGGAATACGAACGACTCGATCAACCTCCAGACTCACCTCAAACGACTCAACGCCAACAAAGAATTAACGAAGCTAGACAGAGATGGTATGATGCAGTGCCATATGGACCAGAAGATCTCATCCACCTAGTAGACTCAGCACGACGAAACTCATCGTTCCGAGGTAGCATTACTGCCCTAGAAATTTATGCAGCCACAGGTCAGCACTTGCATGGCGAAACCTTTCAAAGATGGATGGCAGACGGACGTCACTACTTCGACCTAGGACCAAGACACCCAAGATGAAGACACAAATCTATACAGAGTAAGTTACTAGTAAAACCTAAGGTAACACCGTTTTCAATTAGTACCAGATTACCAATCTTGGAAGATATATGAATAGGCATGCAACGGATCTAAATCCTAGGAATGGCATATGGCGACAAGAACCAATCGTAAGATTACACGTGCTAAGACCCTTATGTAATGCACTTTAGTGCTTGTTTTTAACCCCGGTGGGGATTTCACGGTTAGGATACTCGGCTCTCACCCGAGCGACCCGGGTTCGAATCCCGGCAACGGAACCTCCCGTGTGATGTAATCTCTCTGTACCCTTTTCGGGTTCGAGTCCCGGCAACGGAACCTCCCGAGTGATGTAATTCTCTCTGTACCCTTTTCTGTGTTCCCTGAAGGAGTCAGGGAATGACAGCCGTGTGTTGTTTTATTCTTTGTCCTCTCTGCCAGGTCTCTCTTTCTCGTCGTTGCAGTCCTCCCGGCGAGAACCGAAGCCAGGGAGTGACATCCGCAGACGGAAAGAGTGCCCTTATAACCTTCGCAACCTCACCCCACTTTGGCTCTCATCAGCGCCCAAGTCATGGAACTGACACCATCACTCATAAAATAAATAAAAATCCAATCCTCCAAACAATACAAAAAATATTTGTGTACACAGTACAATACAAAATTGAGACAATATATGCTCCAATCATCAACCACATGCAAATATTGACAATAAGTTAACTTGGTCACAAATGGCAGAGAAAATGCTAGTTTCAACCAAACCTACGAGGGCAAACCATCTTAATTAACATTTCTAAATACCCCACAATTCACATATACCAGTGGTGCACCAACAAACTCCTCTCTTGATCCAAAGATCCAAAACCCTGTGGTCAAGCTTGAGCTTGGTAAGATCATCTCACCTCAGGCACTCACATCAAATTTTGCACAGCAAAGATTCACATAGATTCACATGTCAGAAGCAAAAATTTGAAGATTTTTTTTGACAATTAGGAGCTATTAGAGAGGATAGAAGTGCAGAGATGCATGTGGGTTGAATGCTAGAACAAGTTCAACAGCACCCACCAATATGATGTAAGAAGCCTACCTGAAGAGAAAAAGGTAATTGACCAAAAGGCTCACCAAGGACGCCCACATTCCATGGGCATTTCAAAGCTTCCAGAGAGCCCTTCGTAGCGAGGCCCCACTCATATGAAAACATGGAGTGTCTTGTCGTGACCATCTTCAACTGGGTGCTAGATTCATATGTCTACTGCTCAAGGTGATTCTGTCAGAAATTAAGGTTGTTGAGGCACCTTCTTAATTTATTACACCCATCTTGCATGAGAGAAGCTCAACATCCCAACCCTATCCAGTACGACATGCATGCACAAATTGTAGTTCTGTACGATTCAGAAGCGGTACCATTTCCAAGGAGTAATACAAGTTTAGCCTGTTGGCTTCGGCAATCACCTGATTTCTCCGAGATGATTCACCTGTACTAAGTCTGGTGCCATCACTTGAAAAAGAACCAATAATGATGCCAAAGTGCCACAAACCATTCACATACTAATTGGGATATAATAAAAAGAACTAACTAGGTAGTTAAAAAGAACCCTTATGATTGTAAACTAATTGCAGATAAGAGGACATCTTGATGCAATGACAATAGTTTGCGATACTAGTTCTCATCGTCATCGTCCTCCTCATCTGCTACCTCATAAATGGCATACTCAGCATCATCATCAGCTCCACCATGGCCTTCTACTTCTCCATAGCCTTGGCCAAATGGAAATTTCTTAAGAAGCTCTTGAAGAAAACCATCGGGCATTTTATCTGTCGATGACACGGTTTCATTGGAGTCGGAAGATGTAGACATTGATGCAAGTAATAATGGGTACGAAATTGTCATATAATTGCAATCCAGGAAATGGGTAAAACATATGCAAACGGGTGCGACATAAAAAAGAAGATGGAGAAAGATAAGGTTTGAAATCAAGGTCAAGAAATGTGATGTTTACTAATGAATGGTAATACCAGGAGCGTCATAGAACCAACAGCTTTGACGTAAAAAGACATACCTGATCTATCGTCCCCTAAGACTCCATCCTGCATACGCAAGCTCGAATAGCTTAGGTAACAACAAATTGGGGAAGCAGATGTCGAAAGTAGAACAGAAAATGTACATGCAGAGGTTACCAGAGACCAGCCTTCAGATACCTATACTAGGTGTCTAACAACAAAACACGCAAAATTCCTGATAAAGATATACCTGAGGCTCTGGAGGCATTTCAATGTCATCATCGTCTTCCTCTTCTTCTTCCTCTTCATCCTACATGCCAAGCATTCATCAGCAATTAAGCACAACAACTCTTACAAGAGCATCACTATTCGTTTACTAGGACTTCTCTAGTAGAAAAATATCATCAGACGAGTATTGAGGCTCCTGAAAAGAGCCAACTGCGGATTGATATCATCAGCGAACCTCTTCTTCATCGGACTCTTCCTCCTCTTCCTCCTCTACTTGTAACTCTGCAGCAGCAGCAGCAGCTGCAGCATCCTCTGCCTCTAAATCTTCTTCAGCTTCAACTGTGGGAAGATCGGCCTCACTTTCAATCTCAGCTACCGGTTCCTCCTGATAAGGGTCTTCAGAAGGTAAAGGCGTGAAATTAAGTTCAGAAAGCGTTTGTATACCAACTCCTGCATGCTCTGAACCCAACAAAAACATAACTTAGCAAAAATTTTGATCACTATTGCACAACAATCGAATAATAATAAATTGTGCGATGAAGAGAAACTGGTACAGGCACAAACACAATTATGAGGACACAACACAAGATCTTACACTTGAAAGCTGGATATCGAAGCACCAGGTATCTGCAAGGGTTTATACTGGATTGTGTTAAGTACCTGTTACAATGATAGTAGGCTCTGACGCAGGGACTTCGTTATGATGAGGTACTTCAGCATTGTTAGGGATTTCGTCATCGCCTTTCCAGGTAACAGTCTTCGAAGATATGCGTTGTAGGCTTTGTATTTCTCGTGCAAGCTCAGCAGGCATGAGGTCCAAGAAGCGGACTCGAATATGATGTCGCAATCTCTCCAATGTGGATCGACGATACCATCCTGTATACTCCTGAAAAGCCACAAATGTAATAATAATCAACAAGTAACAGAGCTGTCCTAAAAGTCACGTTAGAATTTTAATGTCATCAGATAAAAGAATACACAACATCGACTTGAAGGGACGTGGAGCGGACGTACACTACAAGAGGTTCTCTCTGGAGGTTTTCGTATTTGTTCTTGAATAAAATCGTCTTGTAGATCAAACAGTTGTACGAAAGAGAACTTTTTCGAAGGTGCTGCTTTAAAAGTGCAAATATCCCTCCATGCAGGTCCACTGCCCAAATTCATGCAACTATAAGGCACTCTACTCCAATAATGAAAAACAGTTGCAACGTTTCTGCCTCCTCACAATCATCTCAAGCAATGAATCAAAATCAAATTAATGGAAGAAGCACAAACCTATCTTTAGCACTTGAGCGCTCAGGACCACTACTACCGTCTCTTAAAGTGCGAGGTATTCGAAAATCCATCATCTGATACCTGAACAACATAAGGGCATATATGTTACTCCAAAGATCGAAAGTTCACTGGAGGACCCTGTCACTGTCTAAAATGGTATGTGATTCGCAAAGGTTCTACATGTAATTCCAATCAGAACCTCAAGTGGAACTTCAAACCCCACGATTGTTCATGAGTAGTAGTCATCCTACAACGAACAGGTTCTGGGCACGCATTAAGAAGACAAATTCCCAGATTCAGAGTATGTCACCTAATCAAGACCTGAACAGCCTTCAATATCGCATTGCTCGTAGGGAAAATAACTGAAAAATAAAAAGCATTGTGCATGATTTAAGCCATGGGTACAAAACATACATACGAGACTCTGGAGCATTTCGAGGGTCATATCCATTCCTAATCCATAGTGTTCGAAAGGGACCATAGCCGAAGTAATATCCTGTTCTGAACAGCAACCTGCACTAGAATAACACCATCAGAACAAAGAGTTGATGCTCTCATCTACCAGTTTACTCTAAAACGGCAAGCACGACCTCTGGGGGGGGGGGGGGGGGGGTTAGCTTCGAAAAATGTGCCAAGGAGGCGCACCTTTTTACATGAGCATCCGTAATAACTACCCCTAAATCAGCCAGGCGGTCAAGGAGAGTGAGCTTTGCCCAAATTGGCCGCTCCTCAAAAAGTCGTACGGTAGCTGCTGTCAGATTGTACTCCAAGGTTTGTTTGACAAGCTCATCCTCCCACCTTGTTATTGCTGGAACTTGTATTGACAGAGTTAAGGTGAATACGATTCGATTTAGGATCATCACACCTATTCATTGCTAAATTCTTCAACCCTCGAAAGAACAGGCGCTTCTAATATGCACGCAATCAAAATATGAGCTCCGCAACCGCATATACAGGTTAAACTACAAAATCAGTATCCTTACAAGCAACACCCACAGCACAAGGTATCGTCTTCATCACTTCGTCTAAACTTGTAAAAACACAAGAACCTTACATCAGAAGGAATCGATACACAATGAAGCCACAAATCAGTAAGACCCAACAATAGTGCAATAATGTATGACATCATGTTCTCAACGCAGCAACAACCATCACACAGAAGTCAGCAAAAAGAGCAAGATTGGACTGCTCAAGTGGTACTTGAGACAGTCTGTCAGAAATAATGTAGTCTCGTCTGTGAGGATATCTGGGATCTTGAAGTCCACAGCAAAGCAAGGCATTGAATTTGCCTGCATGCAGGTGTCGCAACAACAAATTAGTTTATCAGAAAATCTTATCATTTCCAAATTGTTTTAGTGTTTCTTGCGGAAATGAGACAGTTGAGAATCATTTGAGGATGTGTTGAGCATACTCTTTTCTTACTTTCAAGCCTAATTTCTGTAAGTATTCTTAGCTAGATGAAGAAGATTCTGAGTTTGTTTGATTCAAAAGGGATAACATTCTGTTAATTTGCAATATTAACTGTTGATACCAGCAAAAAAGAGCTCAGCGGCTTAGAAGTCTAAAATCGCAAAGAGTAAAACATAGGAGTGGCTGTAACTTTCACTACGTATTCTGCAAATGTAGATCAGGACAAGTACTTGGTTGGTCCAGATCTAAGCGAGACTATCAAACTAATCACATACCTCCATGTGTGCTGTATCAGTTTTGTTCTTCCTTTTCAACTTTTTGCTGACGAAATCTGACGGGCGCATTCTTCAAAGGTAGCAGAAACACGAACCTCAAGTTTAGTGAAAACTTGGACAATACAATCAACGTTCTCTACATTTCTGCAACTCAGAGTCATTACAGCAAACAAGATGTAAATTTCTTCCGATGCAAATGCATAGAACCTCGCAGAGGAAGATGAAACCGACCGAAGAATTATTGTTCATGCAATTTTTTTGATTGGATAGGAAAGGTAAGAATTATGTACACAGTCTCCTCAGGCATGTCCTTGATAGAAAAGAGGGGCGGTACGAGCATCATAAGTTCATCCTGTTCCACATCCATCAAATTCCCTGGATAGAAGGATCAACTTAATTTCTTCCTAACAAAAACACTACCATTTTCACAGCTTAGAGCATGATCCAAATAGTAATAAAATCGTATTAATAAAAATAGATATATGTACAAGTTACACAATCACTTACTGGGATGTGTATTCCCAGACGCACATGCTAGTGTGTAGGAAGAATCCAAAGTCAGAGAGTGAAACCAGCATTCTTTAATGGATACTGCCATGCACACTTATACTAGGCGAAGAAAAAAACGAACTGATCTAATTACTAACGTCGATTATGAGTAGAGTTACAATCCCAAAACATACATTGATGAAAAGCACCATATTTCTAAGCTTTGTGAACGAGGAATTGGAACTCTTGTAGATGGAATATAACCTGCACAATTGTAACTGTTGAAAAAGATAACGCCAACTTTTGAACATGAAGGCGAGAATACTCACCTAGCCCTTGCATCTCACGCTGACGTTTCTGACGCTTTCTGGCAGCATCCGCATGTACCGCTAATACATACTGGTAGTCCGCCATGCCTACACAGTAAAGTTTTATATATTCATAGAGCTAACCATATTAGGAATTTCCAATACTCCGTCAAACGAATGAAACTAGCAACAAACTGCATCTGCAGAAAGCGAGATGATGGCAAGTCTCCATCAATCTTTATATTTCGGATTGGGTTCTGCGATGATAACAGGTAAGACTAAATCCCAGCTGCAGCTAAGAAGCATAATAGATACATTCACTGAGTTGCTATTGCAATTTTGTATCGTTAGTTTGTAGTACCACATCTAACAAATGATAGCCTGCACACCCTACACAACCATAAGAAATAGCTCAACTTAGACTTACCATCAAAATTATATGTGTGCTCTATTCTCGCAACGATGTCTGCCCTTGTTTCGAACTCCTCTGCATTATCTTCCACGTTTATGCCACTAGCTTCGTCAATTTGAGGCAGATTATTACGACGTTTCCTTCTAATGCGCAACAAAAGATCAGAGCTCTGAGATAATTCACCAAAAGCGGCATGTGCACAAGGGTCCTCTGGTCGAAACTTAAGCTCCAAATAGTTAGCCTCCGCCGAACGAGTCTGTTAAACGTGGCACAGTTAGTCGATAATACTAGAGTGAGCAGGATGTCTCCCTGTACAATATTTCAAATTGGATTTTGCTTTAAAAATCCAAATATTTGATGAGTTATTAAAAACAAAAAAATACAACTTCGAAATCCTAAGTGATAGTGTTCCAGCTACCGATCGCACAAACCTAGTGCATTTGAGGAAGAGAAATTTGTTCAACACTGGTACCTCGCGCCAGACAAAGGATGCAATCCTCTTGCTGAAATTCTAAATAAAGTGATCTTGCTTCTTTCTTTCCTTTATCTTTGTTATTGTTCTTATTATTATTAATATCTATTTATTTACTCATTCTTCTCTGACTCTTGCAGCATAGAAATTGCGAAAAATCGAACACTGTCCAGATCCTGCAACAATTCTTGAGAGCGTACCTCCGCAATGCGCGCTTCTCCACCAAGTGCCTGCGTAGCCCTCTGTAGCGAAGTAGGGTAACCAGGAAAATTCACTGCGAAAAAACGCTCTTCAGGCAGCAGCCCGCTGGCACTGCCTCCTATAATGACTCCCATCCTCCCTTCTGTCCAGTTTTCGTCAACTTCTCCAAGTCTCCAAGCAACTACATTACTTCAAAAGCTTCCAACTCTGGTACACGCCCTCGACATCCCACTGAAGTCTTCGTCCTTCCACAACAATAATACGACACGCCGTCGCTTCTAATCAATCATCTTTGAAAGATTATGTTAAGAAAAACAAAAAAATGAAAAAATGAAAAAGGAGTGAGCGGCGCTATCGTCATGTGAGGAGAACAGGTGAGTTTAAATTGGCCAGATCATTCGCCATAGCCACGAAGGAAAATGAAACGATGGTCATAAAATGCCTTCGTCAGGGTTGCGGGAGTTGCTTCGGGAAGGCCTGAACAAATTTGCCGTGTTTCGGAGGAGGCTTGAGACTCGATGCGGATGAATGTAGATGAGAAAATCCTCTATGTTGCTGCTTAGAAACATTTTTCAAATTGTATCTTTACTTTTCATGGATACGGAAGTAGCATTTTACATCCTACATTTTAAATAACAAGAATTATAATACATTTGAAAAGCAAAATAAATAAATTATACTTTATCATATATATATATATATATATATATATATGGAAATATTAAAATGAACCAATGTTTTACTAAATCAACCCACTCTATTGTAATCATCATTATAAAAATGAATCATCTCCAAAAACCATCATTACAATTATAGCCCTCATCTCCATCCATCTTGTTCTCAAGCTCCGCTCCTTCCATTCCCAACCTTCTTCATGTCAACCTCCTTGTTCTCATCTGTTTCCAAATCTCATCATAACCCTCCTCATTCCCCATAATAGGTGGGTCATTTTAACATTTCCTTTATTTATATATATAATGCTAATAAAGACAATTCAAAAGACAATTAAATTAAGAAGTTAAAGATAGTTTTTAGCTATAAAGTATGAATGCAAGCAAGAAAATAGACAATTAGTAACAATATTTCAATGAATATTGAATAAAAAATACTAAAATATAACCACAAAATAGCAATTAGAAATAATAATGGAGTAACAAGGAACAAAGGCAAGTAGGTTGAACTTAGAAAGAGAGAATACAAACTAAAGAAAGAAAGCATTAAATAAATAAATAAATGTAACAACTTAGAAACAACATTACTAAAATAAATAGAGAAACCATCACAAGGAAAGATTAGACAAGCAACAACTAAAAAAAACAGGCAATTGAGGACAAATAAATATGTCTATAGCTTCTTTAAAGTAAAGCACGACCAAACTTTTACATATTATCTACACTTTGAAGAAGCTAAAGAAACAATGCAGCCTTAATTACTATTCAATATTAAAAAATATCCATGGTATATCTTGTATAAGAAAACCTCTAATGTTTTTTTGTCAATTAAAAATATACAGGATTAAACATAGAAAATAAAAGTAAAAAGAACACATTATGCATTTTTAAATGGAACAAAATATTATTTTATCCTACTCATACTCTTTCTTTCTTATTTATCATTTTTTTTTCCTCTGTTTCATCTCAACACAACATACTTCAACTCTATAATCCAATCTACTTACAAATTGGCATATCTGCATCACTCATTTCAAAACAAATAAATGACTTTTTGGTTAAGACTTTTTATCTAACTACAATCAAATCATGGAGTGAAAAAAACCCAACCTACCTGAGATACATTTTTATTTCAATGTTTCCACCGAGGTCCCATAAAAGACATAAATAAATCTCATGTAATACATAAAAAAGTCTATGCAGGATTCTTTTTGAAACAGAAATTATTGTTTTAAAAATCCGTATTAGGATTTCTAGCTAAAGTATCTATGGTAACTCTAAGAAATATTAAGCAGATATCCCACAATTGCACATATTAACATGATATAACAGCTTGTGATAAAGTTACTTTCTAGTAATTTAAAGTCAAAGCCTTGTTTGCTTTTCACAGTGTTTTCTCATTTAAAAACTCCACTACACAAGCTACAATACATACTAGAAATTGTTGAAAAGGTCATTACTAATTACTCATATTCTTCGGGAACGATATTCATGACCCACTTTCATAATAGATGAGGGCTTCATCGACTGTGGAGTTTCCATATTCAAGTCACAAGTCACAATTTCCACTGCTAAAGAACAGCGTGTTTTATTATTTGCTAACTCAAGTAACTATGCTATCTTAAAAGCTTGTTAGCGAAGATATAACCCTGTAAGCAAAAGAGTAGCAAAACCAATACTCTACAGTTGAAAAGTCTTAGAATTATTTCAAACTTTTCAACTATTCATCCTCTATACTGAAAGACCGCTTGAGGGTGCAGACTCTGTATGATACACCTTCACTTCATGAACGTCGATTGCCTGCGATTGCAATTTTCACATACTGCTCTGGTACATGGGAAAACACACCAAGTCAGGAAAGAAGTTAAATCTACAAACAAATCAAATTCCAAGCTACAGTATTCCGACTAGCTTGTAAAGCTCCAAAGGTATGTAAGTCCTGATTAGTGAACTCCCATTTTGTACAATTTAAAAGTTTGACACATAATGAAAAGCTGAAATAGGAGATGGTATGATTCAACACCTGTCGTAGGGCGCCCAAAAGTTCCAGGCTATCTCACGGGATAATATTACTGATGATGCAAAGTTCTCAGGACTTGCATAATCCTAAGCATTGCAAATTCATCATCCTGACTTCGAAGATATAAACCCTTCCAGATATCTTAAGTACTGTGCGAGCCCCTCAGCATGATCAGATGATGTGCCACCAACAACTGTAGTGAAGTTTATTGTCTAGGCTTTTAATCAGCGTACCCCAAGATTCGAACCTGATTCGAACATAAGTCTCTTCGGTAAAGGATTCGAATCAAACCGCATCAAGAGCGCATTCGATATCACTACAGGATGTAAGTTCAAATGCTCATCCTGATCATTGAACTCACGATACACATGGTCTGACTGAGCCCAAAATACAGCATTAACAAGAATTATCACACAGCAGACACCTCCACTTCCCTGGTAGCCGGTCTGTACGCAATGAAAGTGCCATCGTTCGCAAAGGAACCAGGGTTGAAGCATGTAACACCCATGTAAGCAATCACATTCTGTGCTGCCCTATCTCCAAGAATGATTGTGTCTGGTGTGGGATAGAGGGACAAAGCATGATCAAAACTCCAATTGATGGGCTGGGTGGTGAGTGGTAGAGGACAGAGATGGTTCTGATGTAACATTGTCACTACCAGATGCTCAAAGGGGTCATTAGTTTCCTCCTCTGAAGGAGTGCAGATGCAAGAGCGACGCATTCGATATTGCAGATCCTCGCGAAACACGACGAGATCTTGCGCGTAGAAGCGGATGCGGCAAGGATTGCTGCCAAAAATGGCGTTAGGCACATGCTTGAGAACCTCTTTGGTGAAATATTTTGGCAAAGCAGGGCGTGGGAGAACATTCGATGGCCCTGGGTCACCCGGTCCTGGGACAAGCAAAAACTGGGAGCCATCTTTGATGCGAGGGTGGCTAGCAATGAGTGAGCCAAGACGCGAAAATTGTTCCCGAAGCTCAGCGAAATCATGCGAAGCCAAATTGCATGGGTAGGAGCAGAAATTCCCCAAAAGTACAAAGAGCGAGGGGACGACTTCCATAGATTCGTACCCGTCTAAGACCTCTTCCAGTTTCCCCATAGTTTCTTCGCTGTCAAGCCACACATCCGACAGAACAACAAACATATCGTTCACTGCCTGCTTCTCCAGTTTCTCTAACCGAACAAATTCTTCCATGGTCAACGGAGGCCCCGCGAGGAGACTGAGGCCCGCTGCACTCCGCAGTGAAGTTTGCCTCCTCTCCAAAGGAGGGAATCCCATCGTGTAAACCTTGAAAACTCCATTGACCAGCAACTCTCCCTCTGCTAGCACCACAGAATTTTCGGTAAAGAATCCTGCCGTGATCTTAGCCTCAGAGATATCCACAGGAACTACAGCGGACATATCCTCCAGATGGAAGCGCCCATCCTCCACCTGCAAAATCACACCCATCACCCACCGGTTCCCCGTACACCCCACCAACGATTGCAATGGCGTAATCTCACAGCTTCCGAATTGCGATGACACATGCCCTTCGAAAGCCGGCTTCGCAAAATACTTGTCCTTCAGTATACGCTGCTGCAGCAACAGGAATCTCTCTCGGTAAAACGAAGCCTTGGCTTGAGCTTCGCCATGGAGGGGGAAGTTACCAGGTTGGGTGTAGAGTATTTTTCGAGCAGGGTCGAAGCAAATCTTGGGTATATTAAAGGCATCCACGACTTGTAGAACACGCCGGCCTTGAGTATGATCGTCAAGGCCCTTCACCTCTGCAATAATGGTCTCCACAGTAGTCTTGTCCAGCATATTACTTTTCAAAGAAGGATGGTCATCAGTGCTTGCAAGCAACGACTCCAAGGCGTCGATAGGATCCAATGAAGACTGATATATGAAAGCCACCGCTGCCTTCAAAGCATCCAGCGTAAGCGTAAATCCCTTCATTCGAAACTTCTGCTGGACCGTCTTCATCCTCCGTTGCTGCTCCATTTTTCTCTTCTTTGCTTACAATCTCACCTTGGTTCTCTATACCTTCTCTATTCAATCCCGCTATTCAGCCCTAACTAGGTCTATTCCGAATGAATCCCACAACATTCCGCTCCGAATCACTCAAAAAAGTCTCTTCAGGTCCACCTCGAAAGAAAAAAGTGCCCAGAACCCAAACAATACACATTTGTAAACTTCGGCAACGCAACAATAGCACACACTAGCTGCGCACCGGAACGTGACATGCAGCACCTCCGACAAACGAAAACCACCCAAAAACCACCCACACGTAATCAAACCAAGTGGTTACAACCCCTTGCAACGACAAAAATAGCTAAAAACTAGAGACTAGATCACAGTGCAACAGACATCAACATCATGTTCGATCTTACACGACGACGGTGGAGAGATTGTGAACCCACAGACTTGAATTGAAAAACTCCCGCCCATTTCTGGAGCTCGTCGCTCACCGAAAAAGTGCGACGCTCTCGTTCATCCTTGGTCCGCGGGTATGGGAGCTTCGAAGGTTTCCCAGGGTCTGGTCCAAACCACTTGCACACTTCCATTAGAATTCAGAAAAAAACTGTATATTTCCCTGGACGGACCTGCACCCGTGAGACGCGAGCCGACCCTCAATAAACTCTAGCTTTTATGTTTACTACGAAAACTAAAAATACGAAATTTAGAAGTTGCTTCCAACGAGAGCTGAACCCAGGATATCCCGCTCAGAAGTCGGTGCTCCTGACATCTGAGCAGTAAGGGTTGGAGAGTTTGGGGGTATCGATCCCAACATATCTCAAACGCTATGTGAGCACTACACCATATTTACCAGATCTCTGTAACCGCGGCCGCCACCCTCTTCGGATGGCCCCTCATAACCGCGTACACAGTTTGGGCTTGTTTCCAACTTAACCCAAAATCCTCGCCCCCCTCTCACCTCCCATCCATTCCCCCCACACTGAGAAGAGAGTTAAAAGGCCATCCCAGGCATTGAAAATCGTCGACTGCACTGCATGAACTTAAATTTACAAAATGAATCTAGCCAAGAAACTTCTGTGAAGACAAACCCTACAACAAAGTCTGTGAAACTACTCTAGTGCACGTATTAAAAATGCACAGTATTGTTCATCTCATCAGCAACATTTTTAAAATAACGAACAGAAAAACAATTAAGTCGTACTCTCGCATATACCTTGGTGTAACTATGCAAGCAACCAGGGTGAGGACACCGAATCAAGGTCTGCAGTCCTTCATGTGTTTGGGTGTGGGATTTGAGTTTGTTTTTCAGCATATATATATATTTATCTATATACGTAATCTTTCTTCTTTTTTGTCCCTACTACAGAACCCAACGTAGTGGAACCAAATTTCCATCTTGCAGTATCCAGCTCTATACTTTCGGAAGTTAAAAAAGATGTGCGAATGAAGAAACCCCGTGGAGAGGCTCTGTAGTGAGTCCACTGAAGATGGCGTTTGCATGAGGCGTTTAGAATCAGCACTCATGAATGAATGAGGCGCAGTGCGTGGAGAAGTTAGGAGAGTTCCACCGCAACCTTGGCGGGACACTCTGTCTTATCTCTTTTCTGATATTTGCAATTAAGGAGTCGTGCTACCTTACAGTTAGTCAATCACGAGGGAATTGAACTAGAATTCATTTGAGTGCTCTCCTTCCAATCTTTGTCGTGGGAAGTTTTTCTGGGCACTGGGTTCTTGCAGTTTGCTTCTGTTTGGATTTTCGTTGAAGCTGCGGCTGCTATTCTTCGGGCTACCACTGTAGTTTTGGAGATCCAGGCACAGAGTAGAGAACTTTTGGTTAGTTTTGTAGGCGGAGGAAGGAAAGATTTGTGGCCATGGCTGCCGAAAGGGTCTGGGAGAGTGTTAAAGTGGAGGGTCCAGACAGTGCAGGTGTTGCGACGCTCACTCTCCACCGTCCGTCGCGCTTCAATGCCTTGAACCCCTCACTCTTTCAGGAAATTCCAGCTGCAATTCGTGCTTTGGACATGGACCCCGCCGTTCGAGTGGTGATATTGAATGCCGCGGGGCAGCACTTCTGCTCGGGGATCGATCTCTCTTTTTTCACAACCGTCGTTGGTATGCATAATTCCTTAGCTTTGTGCAAATTTGTCGAGAAGTGGAACTGTTCTTTGATCAATCTACCCCACTAATTCACAAATTGTTCTCTTCTTCGAGCTACAAATTTAGGGTTTCAAGGGTCTTGTAATTTTTTACTTTCGGTATTCATATGCTCCACACTGCCCATGGTAAATCAACATATCGGTCTCCTCATCTGACCAATTCATCTTCGTCAGGAAGTGATGCAAGCACGTGCTTAGGTCGTCAAAGGGAGAAATTCCGAAGGGATGTCAAGGACATGCAAGATGCATTCACCGCTTTTGAAGAATGCCGAAAGCCTGTGATTGCAGCAATTCATGGGGCTTGTATAGGAGGCGGCATCGACATGGTCACTGCTTGTGATCTTCGCTACTGCACTGAGGTATGTTCAACAGTTCACACAGTCTTCGTAGTTGTATAGCATCTTTACTTAGTCCCCCCCTCCCGCGTCCATAGATACATATATATATATATATATATATATATATATAAAAGAAAAAAGAAAAATCCCTTCGTCTTCTTTCTTCATATATGCAAAATTGTTTGCCCTTTGACCCAGTTTCTTGTCGACATTTTTCTCTCTAATGAATACCTTGTTGCACAGAATGCGAATTTTTCTGTGAAGGAGGTGGACGTTGCCATCACAGCTGACCTTGGCACCCTACAACGTCTTCCAAAACTTATCGGTCATGGTTCCGCCATGGAGCTGGCACTTACAGGTCGACATTTCAGTGGTCCAGAGGCAAAGTCGCTGGGTCTAGTGCAAGGGGTACTTCCTTCCAAAACTGAGCTTGATGCCTACGTACAGAAGATTGCTTCTCAGATTGCAGCGAAGTCTCCCCTTGCCGTCATGGGCACCAAGGCAGTGTTGATCAAGTCACGAGACATGAGTGTTGCTCAGGGTCTGGATTATGTTGGGCTGTGGAATGCTGCCATGCTTGTTTCGGAAGATCTGGAGGAAGCTGCGCTAGCTAAGATGCAGAAGAGAACGCCCAAATTCTCTAAACTGTGAGGGTATTGCCGTTCAAATGACCTTGTTTGTAGTTTGAATGATGGAATGTACATACAATAACAAGAACACATGATTAGGATAATTACTGCAGGGATTATTGACAAGAGTAAGGTTGAGAAGCGATATCTGGAAAGAGCGATGTAATGCCGTCTGTTACGCTCTCTCGATGCAGACTCTCAATCTGAAATAATCATGTTCAATGAAAGGTGGTTTGCCCCAGGTTACCAAATATGAGTCATATTCCATTTTCATGATTGGGATCTCAAGCAGATGGCTCAAGAGAAGAATCAGACGATGCTACATTCTTGTTTTGATTGAATTATAGAATCAGCAAGGAATAGCAAGACAAACGATTAATGAAAGGTTCAGGTGCCTGTGACAAACAATCTTCTTGAACTAAAAGCCTCTTGAATTCTTCAGAAAAGCATAATGAGATGATCCTATCAAGGATTTTCGTGCGACTTTTTACTTGATGGTCGAATCTCACAAGAAGCTGGACAAATTGTGCGGATGTTGGCTCGGTTATAATTTACTGCGGTTATGAGACTGTCTCAGTGGTCTCGACTTTCACAAGGGAGGCCAAGTCAACCCGGCTCCAGCTTCTACTTTTCTTCTGTTGAACCCTTCAAGCCTTCAGTGTGTTGATGGAGCCTAGAAGGGCACATGAAGCAATAATCGGACAGACAATGAGGTATTGGATTTAGAGATCAGCTGAGTTTATTTGCAATTTTTTAATGAACATGAATCAAAAACGTTTAGCAGATGAATACACAAGATTAGGAGGGGAAAGAATAGGAGAATAGGTGGTAGAGAAATGTTGGAAGAATGGAGAAGTCAAGAAGAGAGAGTGATCAAATCTCATGGAATTCACTAAATAATACAACTTTTAGTAGAGAAGAAGAAAGATTACCACAATTTTAGGAGAGTATTAATTGTAAGCATGAGTATTTGGAAAAGTGATGGATTCTATCTGAAGTTGTCATTCAATGTTTTTTTTTTTAAAAAAAATTATCAAGAGATAATTTGTGAAAAAAGGTAAATAAAGTGAACATACTATGTTATGAAAAAGAATCTATTCTACTTCAATAAAAATAAATAAAAATCAAAGTGAGTTTTGTTGAACTTATGCTTATTTACAATTTATGAATGTTTTGATTGAAGGAAGTTACAAAGGTTCCAACAACGATCAAATTACATGGTGGTTTTCTTACCTTGAAATGGGACATTATCGATGGTTGAGAAGACCTATCAACTACCTTCAAAGAGAACAATGATCACATTACGTGGCAAATATAATTTGTTGCATCTTTGACTTTGACAATATATAATCACCGCTCCTCATGGAACTTGTCTTTTAGAAGGGGAGATAATGTCATGGATATATATTTACTATAATTTCCACTTAAATAATATGAATAAGTAGAATTAGATAAAAATAGGTTAATGTCATAATATCTTTTAAAAATGCTTCCTTAAAGCTTCTTAGATGTTGTTTTGACTTTACATATGTTTGTAGTTAATTAATAGGTTAGAAACTTGGTCAACAAGCTATCTATGTGTGACATGTATTGATAGCTTGTAGAACAAGCTAATTATGTGGCATCTATGTAAGAAACTTGTCTTACAAGTCAAGATACATGTCATGCAAAGTCAACACGTTTTTGGAGCTCCTATAGAACGTTGTTACATTGATCATAGTTAGATAGTATTTACAGAGGCAAGAATAAAGCCTTCTTTACTCTTATGAATTTCTTTCTTGTTTCTAATTTAGTTTCAAAACATTCTACTTTCTTTGTGTTTTAGCAATAATCATCTTAATTTCTTTTTAATATACATATTTTTTTATTTTTATTTTTTGTCACTTTTCTCTTGACACAGATTTTCGAGGTTTATGCATCTTCTTTTAATTCATGTCTTTGACAATTATTCGAGCTTGAGGGTATTATATTTTAGGATAGATATCCAACTCTATAGTGGTTTAAGATGGATATTAGAAAGAAGTTAGGAATAGGAATTTTTGGTATTAAGGGTTTTTATTTTTATTATTTTTTATTATTATTTAAGAGGTTGGGAGTCAAAAGGAGGGAAAAGGAAAATTACTAGAATTTTTAGAGAGTAAGATTCAAGTCTAGTTTGGGATTTTGAAGGCCACTTATAAAAAAATTACCTTTTTATTCTAAAATTTTAAGAAAAGTTAGATGGTATTATTGATTTTCCAATAAATTATAGCACGCAAGAGATGGAGCTATGAGAAAAGAGGACTATGCGAATTTGTGAAAAGAGAGAGGAGGGAGGTTGATAGAGTTTTTAGGTGGTGAAATTCAAGGCTAGTTAGGGATTTCAAAGCCATTTCTTGTATTTTTTTTATTTTTATAAATTTTTTTTTGTATTCTAAAATATTAAAGAAAGCTGAATCTTATTTTTAGCTTTTTAATAAGCTATTTTATGTAAGAAAAAGAGCTATAATGAAAGATATTTATATGAATCTATTAGATGGGATTTGCCAAAGTTTTCAAGTGCCAAAATTTAAGACTAGTTTAAAACTTTCTATGCTATTTACTAGATTTTTTCTTATTTTAAAAAACTAGAAGAAGGTAGAGCTCATTGTTAGCTTTTCAACAAGCCTTAGCATGCAAGAAGAGGAGTTGTGACAAGGGAGATCCAAGCTATTTTGTAGACGAGGGTTTTAAGGTAGCAACTATAGTAAGCTGCTAATTTTTTTCTTCCTTGCTTTGATTCTCATTTCTTCAAGATTTTGTTCATGGACTTTAAAAATTTGAAGTTTTTAGCTTTAATTAAGCTCAATAAGCCAAACTTTTCTTAAATTGTATTAGTGATAAATGAATTATAGGTATTTTAATAAGTTGAGATTTTGATTTAAGATTTGAATTAAGGGTTGGATACATCTTGACACAAGAAAGAAATTAGTCTAAATTTTGTACTTAGCCTTTGGATATCTTTTTATGTTTGACTTCATTTGAGCAACATCGTACTTCTTACAATCCACTTGCAATTAACAACTTTATTTCTCTCAAGGAGGCTCACCTTTTTGACAATGGTTAATCCTTGGATATTAATCCAATCTATCCTAAAGATTTTTTAGTTTGATCCTACCTTCAACTTAATCCTAGTATCAATCATAATAATTATTTATCTATTCTAATAGTTTTATTTATTTATTTATTTTATTAATTTATGACCTTTCTAAAGCAATAAAAGAGTTTTTCAACTTAAAAGATAAAATTATTAACCAACGTTTAATCTACTAGCTATTAATACAAGAAAATAAACTAAGAAGCTTTTATAAAAGCCATGTTTAAATATCTTGAATTATCATTCAAAAAAATGATTAGATATTAATATAATATTTTTACTATATAGTCATATTATAACACAATAATATTCACAAGAGTAAAGAAGGCTTTATTCTTCCTTCAATATATACTTTCTAATTAAGAGCTACATGACAATATTCTATAGGACCTCCAACACATGTAGACTTTACTAAACACATGTCTTAACTTGCAAGGCAAGTTATTTATATGTGAACTATATAGTTAGCTTGTTCTATAAGCTACTAATACAAGTGACATTTAGCTAACATGTTGACTAAGTTTCTAGCCTATTAATCAATTATAAGTACATATAAATTCAAAGCAACGTCTATGAAGCTTGTAAGAAGATATTATGAAATTAATCTATTTTTATCTATTTTTACTTAATCATATAGATATTTATTAGAATAAATTCATATATCCATTACAACTGCATGATATCTAAATTTTTTGTGAGTTGTGTATTTGTCTTTCTACTCCTCATGTATTAGTACAAGGTCTATAAACAATGTCAAGTTTTTGTGGTAGTATCTTAGATGTTTCCACAAGTTTTTATATCATTTCTCATCTATAGGTGATAGACGTCCACGATATGATGTTTCCATGTTGTCATATTATGTGAAGTCTATTTGAGAATGTTTTGGACAACAAGCTATGGAAAGAAAAGTGGAACTTGCAATAAGATGACTTTAACAATTCTAATAGAATCTTAAAAAAACTTTAATTAAATTATAATTATATTAATTAATATTTAATTAATTCTAAAAAAATTTAAAGAACTAAAAAAAGAAATATAAAGAAATAAAAAATTGATCTTAATTAAATATATATGATATAAAATCTTTAAAAAATATCAAAAATAAAAATCTTAATTGAATCTTAATCAAATCATAATATAACCTTCAATAAATTTTAATCAAATCCTAATGTAAATTTCAATAAATATTAATTAATTCTTAAACCAATTTCAATAAAATCTTATTGAAATCCTAAATCCTAAAAAAATTCTAATCAAATCTTAAATAAATCCTAATCAAATCTTTAAAAAGTCCTAAATCTTAATCATAGGCCAAATTTTGATTAAATTTTAAATTCTAATCCTAGACTAAATTCCAATGAAATCCTAAGTCCTAATTAAATATTATCAAATCATAAATCCTAATTTTAGACCAAATCCTAATAAAATCCTAAATCCTAAATAATTCCAGGTAAATTTTAATCAATTATTACATCTATTTGAAACCTCAATAAACATGAATTGAATCATAGATCTTGACTAAAATTTTATCTAAATTTCAATAAATAAGTAATTAATAAGCATAAAAAATTTGAAAAGAATAGGACTTACCAATTACAAAAAAAACTTCCAAAATCTCTTGGTTGTTGGCTGCCTTCCTTCTTTGATTTGAATGTTAATTATTTAATACTAATTTCTCATTATTTAACCATTTAATTCCTTTAAAAATGAGATTTTGTGTAAATATTTAAGTTTTTATTGATCTTATTAAATTTTTTTTCAATCCAAGTAGTAGATATTTTTAGATCTTGGAATCACTTACTAATCCTAAATCTCAAATTTCTAAGATTGTAACCTACAAAAATCCTCATATGCTTCAATCTAATTGCTTGATTGACTTCAAATATTTCACATATATTCACAACAAGCATAATAACAAATTACCTAATTTTCACCTATATATGTACTATGAAATTTATAAAATCCTAAAATTTATAAATCTATTTTTATTTGTCAAAATCTAAATCTACTAAGTATATTATTAATTTCAAAAATCTCTCAAAATCTTAATATTAATCCAAATAATATAAAATTAATATGAAAAAATCTTTCTTAAGTCTGCTTTCAAATCTTATTCTTTAATTTTCAAAAGAACCTTAGAATTGCCATAGGTGCTCAATTT